TATCTATCTTGCAAGAATAATATTTGAATTAGTTTTAATTGGTATAAAATCGAATTAAATTAGCATAAGATCCTAATCACCCCCATAGGGTCTAACAAAAGAGTGATATTTGTGATTAGTGGAAAAAATTAAGGAGGATTAGTAGAGATCATGGGTATGTGAAGAGATGAATATTTTATGAGAAGCTATGAAGAATTACGGTGGAGTGCTAATTATTTATGCATCCATACGGACGTTTATGTAAGTGTGTATATTTTTATTGAGAAATAGCCTCGTATGTAAAATCAAATCCTAGTTGAACCTAAATTGGGGATTGAATTTGATTGCAAAGAATTAATTATGATTAGAATAAAAATCTAACTCGAAGAGAATTAGAATTGGTAATCTAAGTTGAAGAATGAGTCCTACATGAATCCAAGAGAGGCGAAAGCTCTTTAAGTACTCTTTGAGTACCCCATCTAAGGTTCCTTATAAATTAAGTCATAGGGAGAACTAATAAGAAGGAAAATCTATGATTTTGAGAAATCTTTTGGTGAGATTGTAAGAGAGTTTCTTTTAGGATCTATCTAGGTCATAAGAATAGATTATCTTATAATCTCTAGATAATTTTCTCCCCGTGGATATAGGCTATTGCTAAATCACGTAAATCCTATGTTTTCATACTCTTGTTCTATTTTTTATGGTGTAATTCTATTCTCTTTAGTTTGAACAAGTTTTCTCAAAGTTTCACATCACTCGATAATCGATTAGTCTACAAAGAAAGAGGAGATCTGATCAGGTGCTTCGAAGATGTTTCTATAGGCTACACTTTCGCATAGATCGCTGATTGGTGTGCAATGATCAGTGTCAAATTACAAGTGGCGTGGGCCAACAGTTTTCATTGTGTAGAGGAATAAAACTACATAAATATTCATGACAATATAAATGATAATTTTACAACTATACATACAAATTAAAGGTGACTTTAGGAAAAAATTAACATATGACAAACTTTTAAAAGAGTATTAGATATATTTGATGTTTACTCACTTAGCATTTTGATCTTCTCCCATCCCAAAATCATCATACGCTGGTCTTATGATCACTCTAAAGTCAAAATTGCCAATGAATTTACAAATGTGTTATAACTTAGAAAAAATGATTTAATAAATCATTGAAATATAAAAAAACAATCAAATAAAAATGTTATTATCAGATTGTCTTTGCTTACTTATTATTTAATCAGATTACGTACAGTATTATTATCTCCATCTTTTTGTAATATAAATTCACAATCTAGCTCTACTTCTAAATCTATACATTTGCATAATTCAAATTTATTTTTAACATCTAAAATAATATTGTGAGAACATAGTGAACATGATGAACAAGAGTAACTTTTTATCATAATTGATTTAAAAAATTCCTTAAGTTTTTAAATCAGAATTAAATACTAAAGTATTTTTGGCTTATGCAATTTGAATTTCATTTTTTATTTTCTGACTTTTGAAATCTATATTTGATTTCATATCACAAGACTAGTGAAGAAAAAAGGTAAAATTTATGATGGATATATTAACATATGATACTTGATACTTATAAACAATAATTTTATTACTATATTACTCGACCAATTTGTCAAAGTGCTTTTCTGATCACTCAAGATATCTCTTTTCAATCAAGAAACAATATGATCTTATTTCATTTTATTTTTAGAAAAACTAGTATGGTGCATGTGCTTTGCATTTGTATCAATTTTCATGCTTAAGTTAGTTGTCATATATATAGTAGCTTCTTATAAGGCTGGACTTTATAAAATTTGGTCTTCAAAGTATTTTTTTTAAAATATTAATTTTTCTTATTTATAATTAAATTGGAGTAAATATTTATTTTCTTGAAAAATATACTCTAAATGATAAAACTCTCTATTCATTGTTACTTTGCAAAACTCAAATTTATGGACTTCAAAATAAATTATATGGGGTTTAGGTGGGTAACCTAAATTTTCTTGAAGATAAACTTCTGATGCAATTTTTTAATTTAAAAGTTAAATGAAATTTTTCTGAAATTGTAATACTTTGGACTGAAAATAAAATTTATTAAGACCGGGGTAACGAGCAATTTTTGATAGTTGTGATTTTGTAACTAAATATTAATTTATTGAATTGAAGAGGTTAAAGAATAAATTTCGAGGAATAATTTTCTTGTAAAACAATTTCGTGAGATTTAGAGGCTAAAACTAAACCTTCTCTCTTCTAACACTGAGTCCACGTAAAGATTCGCAAGGCCTAATGGGCCTGTTGACCGATCTGGTGACGCCAAGCGCTTCCCACTTTCGGGACAAACGAAGGCCCACGTGCTGGAAAGAACAATCAGTGTGGTCTAATCACGCCACGAATCTTGAAGCCGTACGTGGCAGAAGGTTAAGGAAGGGACGCGACGTGACGGAGGGAGATGTCGGTGTCAGTTAACGTGGGGAAGGGGACCAGCTGTTAAATCAGGGCTAATCAGCCTAATCAAAAGTCTCGCCAGTGACGGGACAACAACCACGGGAGGCTACTTCCGCGGGTCCCAATCGCGAAGATGTCAGCTGCACCTGTCGCTTGAAAAGCCCCGGCCTTTTTTAGATTGCACGTATTTTTAGTTAAGTTAAGATAAAATAATTGGGGGGAAAAGAAGATTAATTACCTTCCTGAACCTGACTTGATAATATACATTCTTTATTATTTTTATATTTTTCAGAATTTACATTATTTTGCTACTTTTATATTAGAATATTTTTTTTATTTTTTATATAATAATAATATTTATAAATGGAATAACTTTTTATGATAACAAAATAATGTTTTTGAGATTTGAGAGAGTAGATATAATAAGGTCTACTTACATGGGTGAAAATAAAGCTTAATTGTGTATCTATATGAATAATTTCGACATTATTAGTTTCAATTACACGAACGATCCTAGAATCTGACGTCTTTTTTTTTTTTAAGTTCTCATGAGATCTTGTTTAGCGTTAATGTTAGGTTTAGAATTTTCACTGGGGTTAGGTTAGAAGCGGGGTTAGGTTACAATAAAGATGTTGAGTAAGGTTAGGTTTCATTGTCATTATCCAAACTCGAATCCTAATAGCTAGTAAACCTTGTTATAAATCTAACTACAATCCTTATTCTAGTGCTAATCCTAACTCTATTCATAACGACATCCAACCAGAAACTTCTTGTCAACAAAAAAAAAAATACAATAGTGTTAACCTATCGTCAAATTGCATGGGTCATCCGCCTAATTAAAAATAATAAACTAATGTTCTGTTCGGGAGCTCACTAAAGGAATGAAAGGAATGTCAAATTTTTTCTTCCCTTTCCTTCCCTTTCCCCCTTTACCCCGAGTTTGAGGTATAAGAATTTAGTGTAAATTTTCATCACTTTTCCCTCCTCTACTCTCCCAATGAAACTCCCAAACAAGTTTAAATTTAAATTTCTCTTCCCCTTCTCTTCGTTATCCTCCATCCAAACATAGCATAAGAGCTACTCGTGCAAATACGCAAGCTTTTGGGTCACCTACATAGTTACACCATACCTTAGAGATATCAGATGCAATAAATCCAAAAACATTTCTAGATACACACTGATATTGGCTAATTAACACTTAAATACCATATAGTTTTTCTTATTTTGCATTTATCTACTCTCTTACGCAATGTGGAAGTAGAACCACCAAATCCACCAAGGGATGCTCAACAATTCCCCAAAAAATAGCCATGTAATCCACCCAAATGCAACCTTGAATTCACAAAGTAATATAGAAATGGATATTTTATTAATAGAAAATTAATACCTTTAGATTTTATAATCTTCTTATTAAATACAAAAACAAAGTAGACTTCTAATAGAACTGAAATTATCATAAATAGAAAATATCAAACTATTTTAAAGAGAGACTCTTTATAATTGATCAAACTAATCGCTCAAATCTGAGATCAACTCGGATCCGTTTTTTAATCACACTTGATTCAAACGTTATTACAACATAGCAAGAAATTGACAAAAGTATGATATCTCTCAATCTGATGCAAATTTAACGTAACCTTTTCTGGAAACTGAACTTAGATAGGTTTGGCAGACTACGCCTCAAAAAATACACTATTATTATATACTAGATGTGTAATTCTTGCCTACAGATTGGGAAATATGACACGATCTTTGTGTGCAAGTCAAAGCCCTTCTTTGGGCGCTAGCTTGGGCTTGTGGCGGTCTTAATCGCTCCATGAAAACTCACGTTCTACATCTCTCTCAAATGCTTTTGAGACATTTGTGTATCCTACAGTTTTTAAAATTAGCAATTTAGTATCTTTGTTTATGCAAACATGAGATTATTCCTTTGAATATTTTAATGTGACACTAGCACATTGATTTTAGAACCTCTAACACTTCATGTTTTAGAACCTCTTAACACTTCATGTTTGTCGAATAAGGGTCTAAAATGCTAGTTTTAGAACTTTTTAATTATGTTTGGGTGCTTCTAAAATAGAATTTGATGGACTTAACATTTAATTCAACAAACATTAAGTATTAAAATATTTAAAAAAATCAGCATGCGTGTATCACATAAGACAACTTCTGAGGAATTTGGTCGGGTTTGTATAAAAAAGGATCTCATTTTAAGATCTTTGAGATATACAAGTAGTACAAAAATTAATTAGGATTATAATAGCGGTGAGTTATTGTTTATGTTTAGTCCTCCACTATATATTAATAGCATTTAGGGCTTGAGGTAACAGCTGACACGACGGTTGGGGAATATTTTCGCCTTTTTCATCACGTCACATGCATGACACATTAGACCCGATTGTGCAACTTTGCAGGGTCAAAGTGAATAAATCTTCAGTGGGATGAAAACAAATTAGAGCTGAGCACAACCACTCACAGGAGGATTTTCCGGAATTAAAATAGATAATAGAACCCCGAAGTTGAGGGTTTTTTTCTTTCTTAAGTTAATCATAATTAAAAATATTTAAGAAGTGCTCAAACCTAGCATACAAGTTACCAGATCGAAGCATAACAAACAGATACACGATACTAGCCACTGCACAGCAGTGTATTACCACAAAATATTTAACTAACAATACCCTGGCTCAAAAAAAAACCACCCAAACAAAAAAATGACCAAAACCAGTTAACAACTACAACTGAAACCAAAAAAAAAAAAAACCAAAAATCATATGCTCTTATTTCTCACACTAAATTTATACAAAACAAAACTAAAGAATCACTAGCATTTGAGGGTTTAGTTGATCAGCTCTAAGATCCTCCAGTATTACCTCCACCAGGGCCACCGAGAGTAAGAACAACACCTTGAAGATCGCTGTTAAGCCTTGCGGGCTGAGCTTTCAATGCTTGACCGGCGTGAGCCTGCCTCGCAAGATGACCGCACTCGAGTGCACTCGAGTTTGAAGTTGGCCTGACATGGATGGGTATTGCGTGAGTAGGAGCCGAACATTGTTGAGAAACCATGGCATTGCCTGCTAAAACTGGGCTGTGAGGGTTAAATGAGGGCCTGGGAACCCCAATGCCTGGTACCTAATAAGGAGACATGCAGTTTCGAGGTCAGGACTTAGGGTTTGTGTTTGAGATCGAAGTACTTGGAGAAGAGAAAGAAAACTTACAGGAGCGAATAAGACGCCTCGAAGGATCTGGCCATTGACATTAGCAGTCATGAGGTACCCTGAGTCGAAAGCGCCATCCACTGTGCCACGAACCTCTGCTCCAATCTGTTGGAGATTCATGTGTGAGCATGATCTCATATTAGGATGAATTAAAAGAAAATGAACATATAGGAAACTGAGATCAAGAATTAATAGCTCCCTTTTTTTAGTTAATTTGGTTCTCATCCTATGTTTAAGTATCACTGCCTGCCTAAATTTTGGCGTTAACAAGGTTCTACACAACATCCACTTCTAATGTTTTAAGAGGATTTACTGCCATCAGATTGTACAACCATTGTAGTCTACAAAACATTACAAAACTTTTGAATTTTTCATTGAGCTTGTACCTTCCTTGTGATTTGAGAATTATTTCCAACACAGTCTACAATATAATTTAGATTTGCGACAAGTGAAAGTTGCACTTGAGTTGCTCTCGTACTATCTCAAAGTCCCTGTTACTAAACCAAAACTCTGATTGAAGTTGTGACCCCTAAACCAAAACTCAGAAGTTTTGGTGACAATTGAGGGTTATAGATCTATACTAACAGAAACGATTTTTAACTTTTCAAAGGTTATAACTGCAATTAAGGATGAAACTTTACATAGAATAATTCTAGCGTCAATTGCTAAATGCGACTGCCACTAGCACTCGCCTTCCTACTAGTTCATACAACCCCCAAGCCTACCCTTAACCAATTAGGGAGCAGCAGCTGAGAAAGCAACTGCTGCTATACTTTTTCTTACATGAAACTTCAAAGAATGAGAGACAGTAACAATGGGTACCAGATGAGGAGTGGCAGGTCTCATCACAGGCTTCTGATCCACTGGTAGGAATTGCACTTCTTGTCTTTGAGGAGGAACGACTCGTAGAAACTGTTCGGTTTTGGACTGTCGAGGCGATTCTCTTCCAATAAAATGTACTTCCTGTGGGATTCTATGGTGTGCTTTGGAAGCAATAAACTGCTGCTGTGACGGTGTAATGGAGTCTTTGACAAAGGCCGGGAGCTTCTGGAGATTGTTCTGTTCTTGATCAGATTGTGATGGAGATGAGTGCTGGGAGAGCGAAAGGGAATGCTCTTCTTGTTCTGACTCTACCTCCCAAACCTTTGCATCACCAGTTCTCCTCCGCTTTGCATGATGCAAGTTATCTGAGAAAAATACACAAACATATATTTAGTGTGTTTGTGTGCATACAAGCAAACTATGTTAAATTATTAATCTAATCTAGCCCACAATTGTCTCTTATGCTACTCGTTTGAACAAAAATTACTTCATAACTGACCTAGTTTCTGTAGCGTGCAACTCCTCAAGTCAACATCCAATTCTCGTGATCGTTGTTGATTAACTTCACCATTCTTTGTAACCAAATTTCTATGCTGCACAATTCAGGAGAAAAATAACTCATTCAGATGCATATATTTTTCACTAGTATTCTTCTACTTTCTACCACACCATAAAATCCAAGGACAAAGTCTATAATCAATATTTATTTGAAAATATTCTCCCCCACCAAAGAAACATTCACATGCAAAGAACGAGTAAACAGGTCAAGCAACAAAAGAATCCCCAGTATGCATTTAAATTATAGACAGGCTTAAGCATCAAGTCCTACTCACAAGACTTTCTGCACCCCTTAGAAATTTCCTCTTTTCTTGGCTCCAATGGTTACCAAAAATCTTGCACATTGAAATATTGTAACGACCATTAGGGTGCTCTGACCCCAACTGAAGAATGAGCAATTCATTCAGAGGGCGTTCATCTTCTCCGCACCTGTCCAGCATGGACAAGATTAAAAACAAAACACTAACAGAAAAAGATGCAACATTATATTTCACTAAATTCCTTTATGTTACCCTCCATATATGGCAATGTCGTGGTTAGTAATGAGTGCTGTATGAGAAAACCTCCCTTGTGGCTGTTGACCTCGGATATCAAGCTGACTCCATGAACAAGTATCAGAATCAAGAACCCAGACATCACTGTAGTATTGCTTATCACCAACACCACCTATTATGTAAACCTGAATAAAACAACCAAGCAGTTCATAACGAAAGATGGCTTGAGAAATTTTCACATCTCAGATAATTTCTGATACTCACCTTGGTTCCTATATTAACGGCTGCATGACCTGCTCTCACTCCAGGCGAAGATCCTTGAACTGGCAACTGCAATGAAGTCATAAAAGAAAGTTTCAGTAATTTTACAACATCCGACATGATTCATTACTTTTAACGATTAATGTTAAGACTTCTCAAGGGAATTTTAGAATGTTGTTACCCACCTATTTTTTTGAATCATAACTCAAGAGAACGGAACCAGCTTTCTGATCAAGGAATTCTCAGTTTATTGAATTCTACTTTTTTTATCTTTTATCCTAGGGAAATCTTGGAATAACCCAAGAAATTCCAATGATATAAACTCCAAAGAGAAACAAAAGACAAGTAGAAAAGCAAAAGTTCAACGAGTAATCCATACCCTTGACCAAGTCATGACCTCCAAATCAAGAATATCAACCTCCCCATGATAACGGTCACCACAATCACCGCCATATATGATGAGCTTATTACCAATAGCAACGGCAGTGTGACTGTCCCTAGGAGCAGGAGGTTCACCTTTTATCTCCGGAGAAGTCCACGTCATGTTCTTGAGGTCAAGTATGTGAACATCGTTCAAGTAGTTTGCTTCACCATCACCACTTCCTCCAAATATCACAAGCTTGTCATTGCCTACAACGGTAGCAGAGTGGCTTTCTCGGGGGGAGGGAGGGATTCCTTTACAATTAGGCTTGCTCCATTCCTTAGTTTCAAGATCTAATACGTGTAGGTCATTCACTTTCTTGGAACCATTTGTGCCCCCTAAGACTATCATCTTGTGACCTATGAGGGCAGCGCTATGGCTGTCTCGAGTACCGGGTTTGTGGCCAGTGGTTGTGAGGGAGGTCCAAGTCATTGTGTCAAGATTCAGAGTGAGTACATCACTAAAGTGCAGACCACCACAACATCCCTGTGAAAATCAAAACCCGATCATTATATTATAGAAGATAAAGCAACAAAATGAAAAGCGATAGTAAAAAGCTAGGTATAAAAGATGTTAGAGGTGACTATAACAATGAAAAACAGCAAAACATAGAGCTGTACAGCGAATTTAATTGGGAAAAAACTTAATTAGGTACATCGGAATAAGTTGGAAAACTCCCAAAGCAATGCACCAAAAACATGCATATACAAATGCAATTGCTAAACTTTGCACTTCACTTCAAATGGGCCAAGTTCATGTTCATAGAGTTCAGAATACATAACAAGAAAAAGCAAGCCATATAACCCCCTTTAAAGGATCTGCTAAACTGGTCCAGCTCAACTTGGAAGCATTTATTAATAGGAAAAACTAGCATATAAATGCTCCAATTGCTGGCTGCTTGCTAAATATATTTATCAATAGGCATGTTCAAACCCTAGCCTCAATTTGTCCAAATCCTAAGATAAAGTCAGTTGTTTTGCGAATAAAATTGACAATAAGAAAATTGATGAATGATCATACTAACCCACTTCTTAAATATTAAAGTTGCATAGAAATTTTGACAAACCTTTTGACAATAAACACGAAAATAGGGCGGCAAGTAAATCTTTCAGGTTAACCTTCGTTACCTTCCAATGCCAAATAATTGTTAATCTGATGACATAACTAACACAAATAGAGCCTACAACCATAGAAAATAGAAAATTATATATTAAGACGGAAAAGGGAATGCCGTAAAGAATTCCCCTTTGCACTTAAGCACTGAAGAAGCATACACAAAATGACTAACAAGAACAATTATTGCCTAAACCACAACCATCAAAGAACAGTAATAACAATGGCAACAACAAAATTTTTAATGAATATTT